AAATCATAAATAACCATATAAATTCCGCAGAAATATTGTCAGTTTTGCCATTTAATGTACCTCCTAGACCTACGCGTTCCGCGATTATGTTTAATATTCCCTTTGTAAGTAGCACTCTTCGATCACCTCTCCTAACCATGCTTCGTTTAGCAAATAATATTACTTGCTTGCACGAAGTAGATTGGCATATGCCTCTAATAACATTCAGACACCTAATTTATAGGTATATTGTGAACTTGTCTGTTTAATTATTTTAGTTTTTCCATTTCTTTTATTATATGATTTGCTTTTTATTTTTTTTAGAAATTTTTTTTTTTTTCTCAATATGAGTTTGTGTTTAATCCCCCTATATCTATATATCTATTTATTTAATATGTATATTAATACGTTTTGATCGATTGTGTAAATAATAAATATTGTAAAGTCTATCCTTGTAATTTAGGCCAGTAAGCCTGTTAGGATGGAACAAATAAATAAATAAATAAATAAATAAATAATCATTTATTTATTTACATTTATAAAATTACATTGGTAAGATGGTATTAAGAAACTAACTACGTAATTTTTCAACGTTCTTCTGTGTGCAACTTAATAATCCAGTGACATGACAGGGATTTGGATCACGAATAAAATTTCCTGTCGCACAGGGTGTGTCATCAAATTTACAAACGTCAATAATGGTAGAAAAACTGAACAAATTTGACAATTTTGTTGCAAAAATTCAGCTTTTTGTTGACCTCGGACGTAAATTTAATCAGCAGCATATATCAGCTTAGTTTCTAAAATTTCATATAATTTAGAATAATCAACATCACCAGAAGAGTATCTAATACCATGAATATATTTTTCTACATACTTAACAGTCTTCTTTTCATTTCCAATTAATTTTGAAAAAGGTTGCGGAGGCGTAAAAATAAAATGACTTTGTTTGAATCCTATTTCGATAGTTAGTTCTTTCGGACAGAAAAGTCCATTAACTATGAAGCCTTGGATGTCTAAAAAAGCAATCCTTATGGTGGTTGGAGACGTAATGAAGATTAACAAATTAATTTATGTTTTTAACTATTTCAGTCAGAGGAAAGTGCTCCATTAAGCAATCATGTACAATGTTGCAATAAGCTTTGGTGTTTTCAGGAAATCCTACATTGGCTTCAATATCAAGTCTTACGTCAATCGTAGACGATTTCATGGATTCTTCTTGTTTTGAACAGTCAATTACGTATAAAACACGATTTTTAAATGCAAGATAATCCATTAGGGGACGTTTTTGTAAGGAATTATTTGTGTAGCTCAGGTAAAATTCACAGTAGTTGAAATGTGCTTCAGTAAAATCGTTTTTCCCGAAATCTAATTGCATTCGTTCGTTGGGCCAATATTCACCATTTAAAGATAATCGTATACTTTGAATATCTACATAATCAAAATAAGTAGGATCAGTCTTGATGTTATTATGTTTGTTCGTTTGAAAGAATACAATTACATAACGAGGTCGTTCCACGGCAGCACTAGTCTTTACAGCCCAAATTTCTCGCTTAGCACCTTTGGTAATGACAGGTAACTCATGAAGTTCCCATTTTCTACATGGAATAACAATAGGACGGTCCCCTTGTATTTGTTGCATTAGTTGTAGTTTGATTTCATCATTGGGATATATGTGCTTGATTTTAAGTTAAAAACTTTGTAAATTTTTATTAATTTAAAATCGTATAAACCCCACTTTCCCCGATATGTTTCATTCCTTCTCTTGCCTAATAATAACGATTATCTTTTTTAATAAGGTGTTTCCTTCCCCTGTCCTACTTTGACCTTTATGCTAAACTTTTCTACCCTTATTGGTCGAGTTTGATTATTATCGCGCCTTGAAAGGAGCTTGAAGTAAGCGATGAGAGTGTAGGTATTTTTGGGTCGTCACCCATGACTGGGAAGGTTGGCCTCTTAAGTCTTCCCGAATCAGATTAAATCGTGTTAATTTTTTTATAAAAAAATTAAGTTCAATGTAAAATTGTATACAGGGTAGTGAAAAACTCTGACAATAAGTTATTTTGGGGTGATAAATTGGACTGCATTATATAATTAATGTGGTATTTTTTTAGATTTAATCAAAAGAGGAACACTAAGCTTTTCTCTATTATATCATTCGACCTTCGTTGTCATTTAAACAATTCTGGATGGTGGCGGTACATTAAACGCTGACTTTACAAAATTTGACATGTCCTCTAAAAAATGCAGAATACAATATCATTTATCATCCTACAATTTTATAATTATACTTTCATTAGTTTCAAAAAAATAACTTGATGCCAGATTTTTTTCGCTACCCTACATAATCTTTAAAAGAAGAATCCTTTTGTTATGTCTTTTACGACTAAATAAATATGATATTGGACACGATTTTCGGAATATTCGATTTAGTCACTCTGTTTAATTATTATTGTACGAAACTAAGATTCGGTAAATTTGATTAAATCACAACGCTTCTATCATTTAATAATTTCTTAAATCAGTTTGTCAGATGTTTTTGTAATTCCATAAAAGAGTTCCTTATCGACATTTTTTTATTTGCCTTTTCTTTTTCCGCTATCCCCTTCTCGGAAATTTTAAGACTGAGTGATAATAGAATCTAGATAACTTATTTAGTGGAGACACAAAATAGGGGAGAGGGAAGTACTTTTCAACAAATTTGTAATGATTGCCTCTTTGTTCTTATTGAATTACAAGTATGCAATCGTTCATTGTACTATATAATTCCTCTATATTTAGTGGTTAAATTTTAGTAATTGGGTTTCACATTTGGATATAATAAAAATAAATATTTTACGTGGTACCGCATGCTCAAATGTACCCTTCGATGGGGCACATCTAAATATGGCAAGTGGTAGATTAAAAATAAGAATATTTCAGAACGTATTTTATTCAATCAAGTGAGTTACATAAAATATTTTAAGGTCTATCGTATATTATACTAAGAATGATTAATGTTGAAAAAGGGTAGATATGAGATTTTTCGGTGCAGTTAGCATTAGATAAAGTTTGTAATTTGCAAACGTCCTCAAATTTCGCAGTGCTTACGTCTTCGACAAGAGGAGAATGAAATTATAGTATCTTATTCCTTAGAAACATTTTTTTCTTTTATTAGACACTTGATGTATCGAAATCTTCGCCTGTAAGCGCGTTTCTAATCAAAGGATATATTTCCGTTTTTTGCAAACCAGAAACTATATTGTTAATTGTAAAGGAATTCTAAAATACTTTGCATGCTAATTCAGCAATATTATGGATTGTAATAGTTTTCCCAGGATGGAAAATCAACCAGTCATTTACAGCTATTCTATATTTTCTTTCAAAGGATCCTAATACAGAAACACCAAGCGGCTGCAATAGATGTGAGCAATGTGAGGGAAGTGTGATTATTCCATTATCTCTCGCATATATCTAAAATTGATTCTAATGAACAATGAGCAAAGTTGTCCATAACAATTAAAATTTAATCTTGTTTACTGCATTTTGTATGATTTATACTATATGCTCCAAAGTTTTTAAGAATATATGTGGAGTCACCCACCCACTACTTGGATTAATTACTAAATATGTGCTTCCGGGTGGTGCATCTCTCATGAAATCTAGCTCTAGGGAAGATAAAACTGGTGGAATAGTATTTCCTGATGCACTGATAATGCCAACTATAGTAACAAGAGATCCGCGCTCCCTAAAAATGACTTGCCCCACCTGCTTTACACCCTTTTCAACAAATACGTTGCAAACCTACACGTACACAACTGTTATCACACCGGTTTTACCAGGTTATAAATTGTACTTGATAAAAATAGGTGCTTCTGAAGGGCTCGACTGTAGTAGGCATAAAATGTATTCAGGGTCATTCCACAGGAATCGGGTAACTTCGTGTAACTGCATAACAATTGTTTACTATACAACATATCTAAATTATGATGTACGCCAAGTTGTAGACAAAGTTGATTATGATTAAGAGCATAACATTTTGCAATTTGAAATTTTTTTTTATCAAAAATCAGTCCCTGGCGTGTATCAGTGGAAAAAGTGAAGACTCAAATGCAAATTTATTTTAAACTACTAGATTTTGACAATAAAAATTAACTTTGTTATGTTCTGAGATAGTTTATTAACAATAATTTATTTAATAATTTATTAATAATTATTATTGACGTATGCTAATTTTACTGTCTTTTTATTGCTATATTTAATATTAAATCAGAGTAACATGGTATTTTGTTCCAATAAGCAGATGTTTTGAGTTTTATAGTAAAAACGTCAGTGCCTTGGCATCAGTCCCCTGGCAGTTTTTCATCTTAAAAACTGCTACGGGACTGACGTAAAGGTAAAAGACAGTTAAACACATTAATGAAGGCTAGATTATATCTATTTCATAATAATATTTAATTTTTTTACAGGTACTTTTATCTATCAACAATTAATTGCTATTATAAATATGATTTAATTACAGCACAATATGGCACCTACCAAAAAAAAACCAAATAGACAAAAGAAGACATTTTATAGAAGAAAAAAACAGGGAAAAGCAAGATTACTCAAAATTAAAGGTGATCCTGTTAAATTAGCTGAACAACAAGCAAAGGAAAGGCTAAAGTATTAAAAAAAAAAAAAGGTCAAAGAAAAATTATAAAGGATAGGAATCCTCGTGAGCAAAGAGTGATTCGTAAAAATTGGAAATTATACTCCTCTAAGTATAGGAATAAAAATAAATTGAATATTAACAATAATTATTTAAGAACGACTGTAGCATCTACTTTAAGTGATACTTTAAATAATTCTAATTCAACAATTTATAATATTCTAACCACACCGTTACAGAGTGAAGTTTGTAATCCAAATTGAATCTAAACAAAGAAGCGTAAAACGAAGGTTCGAGCGATGCATGGAAAAAAAGACATAATGAAGTTACTGCTCAACTTAAAAAGCAAGTTAATCGTTTTAGACAGAGATATAACAGATTAAGACGCAGTATGAATGAAGATAAGGATGATTTAACACTCCGAAGTAAAATAGAGCAAATAGCAAATGATCCGAATCAAAAGAGAGAGTTAGTGAAGAAAGCTCTTTTTGGTGAAGTTCACCAAACACAACTTTCTACAAATTATTCTGAAACAAAAACTCACAAAGATAGATCTAACTTCAAACGTGTTAAAGCAAGAAATATTGTGAATAAATATAAACTGTGGAGGTTTAAGAATAGAGGTATAACATTTAAAACGATAGACCATAATAAGTCGAAGCAAGTTGCTAAAAATAAAAAATGGCAAATACAAACTGTTATCGAAAAGTTCTACGAAGATGATAGTAATAGTCGTCAAGTTGCTGGAATAAAAGAACGTAAAGAAACAGAAACGTCACCTTTTAGATTCAATGTATAATTTACATAAAAAATTTCTGCAATCAGGATCAATTAAAATTGGGTACTCTTTATTTTGCCGTCATCGTCCATATTGGGTTGTCCCACCAAAACTTTCAGACCGGAATACGTGTGCATGTATCCAACAAGAAAATATTGATTTAAAACTTTCTGCTTTAAAAAGCACTAATATTCTCCGATTTGATAATCATCAAACGTTATTGCAATAATTGCTTTGTTGTGATAGTTATAATAAAAAATGTTTAACAAGAACTTGCACTACTTGCTTTACAAAATAATTGCCTAATGAAGAATTTGACAACTGTTAAGATATTGTGGTTAAGCAATGGATTCATGTTAAGGAATTAATAACAGATCCTAAAACCAAAAAGGAACGAAATGTTATAAAGTATACAAAAATGATAAAACAAATGAAACACAAACAATTGATTGAAGAGTTAGAAAATAAATTGCCGAAGGTTTTCATTCGCGAAACAAATATTGTGCATCAATATCACAATCTGAAATTATTAAATGAATCTCTTTCTGAAAAAGATGCCGTCATACACATGGATTTTTCAGAAAATTACTCTAGAAAATGTAATCAAGAAATTCAGGCACTTCATTTTGGTGGTTCTCGAACTCAAATTTCTCTACACACTGTTGTTGTTTATACGAAAGATTCTACAGTTTCTCAGTGCACCATTTCATCAAATTTGTCACACAATGCAGCAGCTATTTGGGCTCATCTGAAACCAATAATGGCATCTTCACCTGAAACTATTGAAAATATACGCTTCTTAAGTGATGGACCTGTGACTCAATACAGAAACAAAACAATGTTTTTTTTAGGTTGCCAATTTTTTGACATGTATCCACAAATTTACCTGGAATTTCCACGAAGCTGGCCATGGGAAAGGTGCACCAGATGGAGTAGGTGCAACTTGTAAAAGAACTGCTGACCAAGTAATTGCTCAAAAAGGCGATATAATGACTTTGCACGAATTTGCTGACACGTTACACAAAAAGTGTCCTGCAATAAAAATTACGATTGTTCAAGATGTTGATATCAAAAAAATGGATGATCTGATTAACGCAAATCAGAATGAACAGATTTCTTTTCAAGGAACACTTAAGTTTCATCAAATTGCTGGCGATGTTCATCATCCTAACCGTGTTGTAATGAAATCGTTAAGTTGCTTCTGTGATCCTATAATTTGTGAACATTATAAGTTAGGAACAATAGAATTTAAAAGAAATAAGAAACTTTCAGGGCGTCGTTTAACGCCTACAGTTCCAAAAAAAAAGACTCGAGAAACCAAGTAAAAAATCAACAACTGGACAACAGATCAAGTACAGTATTGGAGAGTGCTGCAATATGTTCGCATATTAAGGAAAGCGAAGAGAAGCTGGCCGTGATATTACTACTAAAATGTAATGATAAAAAACTTTATTTCGATTGGATGAAAGTGATTCAGCCGACATATCGTTTAAGCAGGTATTAGAAAAATTACCAAAACCTCTTTTGAGTACCAAACGTAATAGTCACTTATACATTTAGTTAAACTATTAATGTTTGTGAAAAACAATTTATTTTATTCTTTGATTTGATTTTAAATTTATGACTTATTTGAAAAAAATGTATTTTAAGTTTAGAAAAAATTTAAGTACTTTTATTAAAATAAAAAATAAAAACTGTAATAGTTAGAGATAATTAATTTAAAAAATATGTATTGAGGTTATGTATCAAACATATTTTTCTGTGTTGGATAATAATTGATAATTATTGATAATTATTAATAAAAAGTTTAAATGATTGATTAAAAAGTTTATTCTTAAATAAAATCATCGGTTTCCGTCAGTCCCCTGGAGCTCACGTCAGTCCCCTGGAACCTACTTTTCGAAAAAGCTAGATTTTTTTCAAAAATACTTGAGTGTTGCTATACAAATACAGTAAAAGGAACTTATTTTTTATTGAAATTATAAAAAAAAAAATTGAAATCTGAGATAAAAATAGTATGCTTCAAATTCACCTCTAAAGTTACCCGATTCCTGTGGAATGATCCATCAATATTTGCTTTATGAAAACTAGTAGCTCCTGAGAGACTTGTTTTTTCTGGTTTTTACAATAAAAGCTTTGGGTACCTCCTCATAAAACCTTGAACCCAGTCAAGACCTGCTTCCTTATTTTTAATCCACGAATTTTGAACTTTTCTGTCTATTTTCAAAGTATAATGTTCGCAGCATTTGATATGTTAAACCATAGTACATGCGTACATATGTCAAGGTATATTTGACGAGTAGTTCTTCTTGTCTATTACTAAATATCTTTTGAAAAGTATGCTTTGATGAAAATGTTTTAATATTCTCTATTTGTCCAGCATTGTCACCCAAATTCTTTAGTCGATAAAAAAAGTGCAGTGTGAGTCACTGCATAAACTTGGGCAGCCTTTCTTAGTAATAGTTCCTTCTTTTCTATACTTTCGATAGCTCTTTGAATGTCGTCCTCGAGGAATACTGGTTTTGTTCGTTTTTTTATATAGTTTATCACCATTCCGGGGACCCTAGAATAAATAATTTCTTTTTATTTTATGATAAAAACTAAAAACGCATTGCTTCACTTAATCCAGAAAACAACAGTCGAGGGCACATTTGAACAGCAATGTTCAAATGTATCCCTAGTAATAATTATTTCAAATAGGAATAAAAAATACGGTTACCTTCTTGCAAAAATCAACTTTTTGGTTCTTCTTAATAATTAGTTTCATATAAAAGAGTAAGTACTTTTCATGCAATTTACAAAATTATACGTGTCTGATCTTACACGTTATCATCAGAAACCTGTAGACCTACGTGTTAACGAAACAATCATCAGACTGAACTTAAAGTGATTTTCTCATGCGCATATTACTTCCCGAATAATGTTGCTAGGTCGAAATAAAGTAGGATTTATTTTTCAACAAGAAATAATGTAAACTGTTCAAATGTGCCCTCATTGAAAGGTGCCCCCTTCTTCCCTATATACGACAAATACATGGAGCTTTCCTAATAACATACAGGATGGTGAATTAAAGATTATTTTCGAAAGAGTTTTAACTAATTCCAGAATGAAGTTCCTATCTGAATTTGATGTTAGGATCAAAAATCTGATGTGTCAAACACATGACTTTCCTATCTAGTTATTATAGGCTTTTCCGGTTATTTTGTACAACCTATTGCAGCATTTCTATAAATGTTTAGAGGATAAACTAAATATATTATACATTGTCCACATACATCTACCTCGAAACATTTTTCTATAGATATTCATTGAAAACGAAAATACTGAAAAATTTAAATTTAGCACTTTTCCATTACGGTCCATTTTAGAAAAATCATGTATAAACAAAAATTATAGAGATCGATATCGCAAACAACTTTTAGTTCAACAATTTTCCTAAAAATCAGAATTTTGCACATTTTGTCAAATTTCTCGAATACGGACCATTTCAGGAAATTTTTACGTAACGCAAAAATTATAGATAATAATATTAGAAGTAACTTTTATTTGAACAATTTTCTTCTCCAAACATAAATAACAGATATATTCCATAAAATATAAATACGACCTCCCATAAAGTACTCCCCAGATGTTCCGACTTTGTCCAAAATCTAATCATTTCACGTCAGGCCGAAATAAACCTTAAGTTTAAAATTTAATGTTTTTTCTTTATCCGTTTTTGAGTTTTCTTCAAAATTCGAAATTTACACATTTTCTCAAATATCTCGAATACGGTTCATTTTAGAGAAATTATGTATAGAATAAAAATTATAGAGAATTATATTAAAAACAACTTTTATTTGAACAATTTTTATAAAAAATTATTTTTTTTACATTTTGTCAAATTTCTCGAATACGGACCATTTCAGGAAATTTTTACAAAAAGCAAAAATTATAGATAATAATATTAGAAGTAACTTTTATTTGAACAATTTTCTTCTCCAAACATAAATAACAGATATATTCCATAAAATATAAATACGACCTCCCATAAAGTACTCCCCAGATGTTCCGACTTTGTCCAAAATCTAATCATTTCACGTCAGGCCAAAATAAACCTTAAGTTTAAAATTTAATGTTTTTTTCTTTATCCGTTTTTGAGTTTTCTTCAAAATTCGAAATTTACACATTTTCTCAAATATCTCGAATACGGTTCATTTTAGAGAAATTATGTATAGAATAAAAATTATAGAGAATTATATTAAAAACAACTTTTATTTGAACACTTTTTATAAAAAATTATTTTTTTTACATTTTGTCAAATTTCTCGAATACGGACCATTTTAGAAAAATTTTGTATGGAACAAAAATTATAGATAATTATATAAGAAGTATTTTTTATTTAAAGAATTTTCTTCTCCAAACGTAAATAACAGATATATTCCATAAAATATAAAAATAACCACCTATAAAGTACCCCCACCCCAGATGTTCCGACTCTACCCAAAATCTAATCAGTTCATAAGACGCTGGAATAAAGCTTAAGTTTAAAATTTGGTGTTTTTCTGTGTATCGGTTCATGAGTTATACGACATAAAGACACACAGATACACACACAGACACACACACCACAGACACACACACACACACACACACACACACACACACACACCAGAGACACACACACAGACATCATCGCGAAAATAGTCAAAACGGATTCAGGGCACCTCAAAACGTAAAAATACGTCGAAAAATCGGTCGAAAAAAATCATGATTCCTATACTTTCCTTATATCTGTATACAGATAGGAAAGTAAAAAGGTAAGGAGCCCAAATATTAGTAGAAATACTATTTTTAAACCAAACAACTCAAATATTTTTCATTTATTGATAGTTATAGATGATATACAGGGTGTCCCGAAATTAGACGGTCATATTTTAACAGCGTAATCGACATCCTAAAATAGTAAAAGTTCATATAAACATAGGTCCGAAAACGTTTCTTTTCCGAAATTACAGGGTGTTAAAGGTGAAGTTCTGATACCACACTTTTGTAAATGTTTTCTAAACTTTTAAAGATAATTAGGTAAAATTTGATACAAATACTTACCTTTTTACGCTCCATTTATTGGACTAAACCCCAGTTTTTGATCATCTTCTTAGGTGGGTAAATAAGGGGAAGCTTAGGGTAAAATTGCCCTAAGTTTTTAACATTTTTGACTATAAAATTTAAAAAACCAATATTTTCTGTATAATAAAGCTACATTTGTTGCATCTCGCTAGGACGCGCTATTTTCAAGAGAAAAGCATGTTACCTTATTCTAAAGTGTAAAAAATAATTAGTAACTTTGGAAAACCGGTAACTAAAGAAATTTTAGAAAATATTTACAAAAATGTGCCATCTGGACTTCACTTGTAACACCCTGTATCTCGAAAACGAAACGTTTTTGGACCTATGTTTATATAAACTTTTACTCCTATTTTTAACCGACTTCAAAAAAGGAGGAGGTTCTCAATTCGTCGCAATATTTTTTTTAATTTTCTTTTTATGTATGTTCAGCGATAATTGTTTAACACGGTGTCCGATTTCAATGGTTCTTTTTTTATTAGAAAGGGGGTACTTCAGGGGTGGTTCCATATAAATTTGGTCAAAATCTAATAATTGGGCCGATGAGAAAATCCTCAAACTCTTCATTTTTTATGTATGTTTAGCGATAATACTTTACCACCTTGTCCGATTTATATGATTCTTTTTTTATTAATAAGGGGGTACCTCAAGGATGGTCACATATAAATTTGGTTAAGAAATATTTCGACGGCATTTGCAGGTTTTTGAATTCGGTTTTTTAAATTTTTAATTTCTAATACTTGTAGGATGTAGATTACGCTGTTAAAATATGACCGTTTAATTTCGGGACACCCTGTATATTGGAAATTCGAAATAATAGTTATGACGTAGCGGTGTTCTTCTAATTGTAATCGGACCCTAGGTATATGGATACGGAAAGTGATGAATTGGAGATAGGTAAATTGTATTTATTGTATTAAAAGAACAACAAATATAAGTACAATTAAATAAGTATATTAATATAACAATTTTTTAATGTCTGTATAAAAATTTTTTTTTCACATAGATTATTAAATTAAAAAAATAACTATTAAAACACGAAATGTTAATTTTTTTCTCTTTTACAACACAAAATATACAATACTGTTGAATCAAAATTTTCTCTTGGCAGCAGGTGGTTTTTGTGACGCGACAATTATGATGCTTTGCATCTCATGAATTAAAGCTAATTCTCTTTCAATCTTAAGGTGATCACACCCCTTATAATTTTCGGACAAGA